TCAGCAATACTGTAATGACAAAGGAAAGCGATGTATGCAATTTGCCAACAACTTGGTTAGGATTATCAAACCTACAAATCTAGCCGATCCTTGCTAAATTGCTCGCAGAACCTTTATGTTTCTTACATCCAGAAAAGTCACTCAGTAACTGAAGGATAGCTAACAGCACAAACAGAACAAGATATGCAGTGTAAAACAAGCATTCAACACCAAGGCAATAATGAAGGTTTATATGATGCTGCAAAGTGCACATTAAGCTCCTTAACATAGCAGGAAATATGTTAAAACAGAGCAGTGGACAGATAGCAATGGCTTTGGGCAATCGCTTTTTGACAACAAAAGCGAAAGAGAATCAGCTTTACTCGTATCTATCATGTTGATAAAAGACATCAACAACCATGTCAATATGTCATGCCTTCGTACTTGAGAACTCAAAAGTCAAAACCTGCTAATTATACTAAAATGATGCATCTGTCAAACAAGCAATACACAAAACAGAATTCTACACTGTTTTTATTTCTATATAAAGGGCAGACATTAAAACCCTCCTCAAAAGGGGAATATGTAGATACTTAAATATGGGTGCAGCTATATAGCTAATTTCAGATAATTTTTATTTTGCAAGTGCAACAAGAATAAACATTCACAACTAAACTTGGTTAAAAATAGTGCAGCTTTGAGCTGAGCTACATTCTGGCACTGTCTGGTTTTGTAAGCAAAAAACAAAAAGGTGAATTTCACAATATTCATAGGTCCCAATATTCCCAAGTATGATTTTGCAAGTTGGTTGCAACAACGTTCAATTCTTCGTGATAAAAAACACCAAGGTCCGTCATAGCAAGAATTGTAATCACACTCGAAGCCTCATGACTCGTGATAATGCTAAACCAAGGCATTTATCATTGATGCAAATTCTAACTACTTTCACACACATATAACCTTTTTCAGCTACTGCTCAGTAAGGCACATTCACACACAGTTATTGTTCAAATGCAAGCTGTCAGGAAGAAAGCATATTGATGAAGCAAATACATTTACCCCTTTGCCAGCTGATCAATCAAGTATGAGACTCCTAGAAGTGAAACTTAGTTACTCTTTTGGTAACTTGAGACATGAATATGACTAACAATCTTTGTAGTAAAATAGAATACAATTGCGCAACATACAACCACCAGCATAAGATCGATTGCAGATAATAAAATAAGTAAAAATACATTCCAAGTATACAACTTGACATAATGCAACAATTACAAGCACAAATTCATATTGAAAAATTGAATAAACACTAGAGAAGACTGAAATCAGCAAGGTTATTCTGTAAAAGGTGTAAATTAAATTGCACAATTATGAGAATATCTCAAATGTTCAACCCTACTCCCCAAAAAAACATGTAAAAAGACGGAAATTATACAGCTTAGGCCCAATCTCATTACATTCCTGAAGCGCCTAACCAAATGAGGGAACCCCCTCCTACCTCTTCCCCTCAAGAAAAAACATACAAAGACACACACTACTACTACCATTACCAAACTACTCAATGATAGTCTGGATAACACCAGCACCAACAGTCTTTCCACCTTCCCTAATAGCGAACCTCATACCCTCCTCACAAGCAACAGGGTGAATAAGCTCGACCTCCATCTTAACTCGGTCACCAGGCATAACCATCTTCGACTCCTCATCCTTGTCATTCATAATCTTTGACACCTTCCCTGTGACATCAGTAGTCCTCATGTAGAACTGAGGCCTGTAATTGACAAAGAAAGGCGAATGCCTACCGCCTTCTTCCTTCTTCAACACATACACAATAGCCGAAAACTTAGTGTGAGGGGTAATAGTCCCAGGCTTAGCTAACACCATACCCCTCTGAATATCAATCTTCTGAATACCTCTCAACAACAACCCAACATTATCACCAGCCATAGCCTCATCCAAAATCTTCTGAAACATCTCAACCCCAGTAACAGTAGTATTCCTAGTATCCACCATTCCCACAATATCCACAGTCTCCCCAACCTTAACAGTCCCCCTCTCAACCCTCCCGGTCGCCACGGTCCCACGACCGGTGATCGAAAACACATCCTCAATAGCCATCAAGAAGGGTAAATCAGTCTGTCTAGTTGGAATAGGAATGTACTCATCAACAGCATCCATAAGTTGGTAAATTTTATCTACCCAAGTATTATCCCCCCTCTTAAGACTAGGGTTCTTCACCAATTCCTCTAAAGCTAACAAAGCAGACCCAGAAATAATTGGAATTTCATCACCAGGAAAATCATAATTAGACAATAATTCTCTCACCTCAAGCTCCACCAATTGTAGCAGCTCTTCATCATCAACTTGATCTTGCTTATTCAAGAACACAACCATATTTGGCACACCCACCTGCTTCGCCAACAAGATATGCTCCTTAGTCTGGGGCATAGGACCATCAGCACCTGACACAACAAGGATAGCACCATCCATCTGAGCAGCACCAGTAATCATGTTCTTGACATAATCAGCGTGTCCGGGGCAATCGACATGAGCGTAATGCCGGTTTTCAGTTTCATACTCAACGGTGGCCGTGTTAATTGTGATACCACGAGCACGCTCTTCAGGGGCAGCATCAATTTCGTCGTATTTCTTTGGGGCAGAGTTACCCATAGAAGCAAGCGCCATAGTAAGGGCGGCAGTAAGAGTGGTCTTACCATGGTCGACATGACCAATAGTGCCGATATTGACATGGGGTTTGTTCCTTTCGAATTTCCCTCTTGCCGCACGGACGGTGAAGGTGCGGCGGCGTGCGGCGGAGGGTGCGGCGGTTGTAGATGTGGTGGTGGTTGAGGAAGAGGTGGTGAAAGAAGGGGTGAATGAAGATGAAAGGATTAATTTAGAAGGGGTTTGGGATTTAGGGTGGAAAGAGAGATTTGGGAGATGAGAAAGAGATTGTTGATTGTGGGGAGGTTGGTAAGCTAAAGCAATGGCGGCTCTAGCAGGGGAAGTAGCTGATAACGCCATTGAAATTAGAGAGGTTAGAGGATAGAGGAGAGAGAAAATGTGGAAGAGGAAGAAGAATGAAGGAGAGTGAAGTAGTGAAGTTTGGGGTTTGTGTTATCCTGAAGAGGAAAAGAGGAGATTTTGGGGGTAGAGATGAAAAGAAAGGAGGGCCTCTCAATTGTTTGTTGTGTGTGATTCTATCTCTTTGTGAGTGTTGTGGATATGGGCCTTTCCAACTCTACCCTAGTTAAGATTGTTAACTCCGGGGTTGTGTTTGTATAATTTCGGTAACTTCGGTTATGCGTTACGCCGTGTTCTCTTCATCTTATAAAGTTATATGAATATTCGATAAAACTAAGTTACTCGAATTAATATAAGAGAATAATTTGGATAGAACTACCCTAAATATAAGGTCATTTGTGAACAACTATCCATTTTTTTATTTGTTTAAAACTACCCATAAGTTTAAAAACGTTTTGTTAGCACTTTCCATATATTTTCCGTCCAATTAAGGCGTTATTGGAGCCCAACTTTTTCACTTTTGTCACCCAATTAACTCCCCAATTTGTTTAAAGGTTTTAATTTACCCTACTTAACCTAATTAGGGTTTTAATTATAATTCACTTTAAGGCTCATGAGTTTAATATTATTTAGGGATTTTGATTTCTAAGGTTTTAGGGGTTAATTGAATTGGGTTTTTGCTTATTTTAGCATTAATTGGTCATTGTAATTGACAAAAGTGAAAATTGGGCCAAAATAACGTTTTAATTGGACGGAAAAACATCATTGGGTAGTGCTACCAAAACGTTTCCAAACTTGCAGGTAGTTCTAAACAAATTATAAAAAAAAATGGGTAGTTGTTCATAAATAACCCTATATTTAGGATAGCTCTACACAAAATTTCCGAAATAACATGATAAACATTAATTTTTAATTTACTATTAGAGCTTATTTTAATATTTAATTAAACTTAGATGGTGTTTAACACTTTATATGTTTGTTTGTTTCAATTTCTCCTAATTTGGACTTATTTAATTTAAATTGAACTTGAACTTTCTTGAACACAAACATATACTTCCTCTGTTATTTTTTACTTGACCTGTTTCTTTTATCACGCTTGTCAATGCAAAACTTTAACGGTCAATAACTTTAATTCTCCATAATTAAAAAATATAAAAGTTATATATTATGATAGTACTTATTGAGACGAATTCAAAATGATCCAACATATATGTGTTTTTCCTTACATATTATTCACAAAATGCGGACAAAGGAGGGGTGGTGAATAGTGTCAAAGTCAAAGCAGGTCAAGTAAAAAAGAACGGAGGAAGTAAAAAATAAACAAATGTTAATCTATAAGATATTTTAGATTGATCTCAATGTATAATATCTCTATATTATTTTGTTTATTGTATTATTTTAAATTATAATTCAAATGTTAATCTATAAGATATTTTAGATTGATCTCAATGTGTAATATCTCTATATTATTTTGTTTATTGTATTATTTTAAATTATAATTAATAATTAGATATATTAACAAGTGTGCTTATCAAATTGTTGCATTTTAACCTTTAAAAAGAGGTTGGGAGTACTGTTGGAAAACAAGTGAAAACAAGCAACAACTTCAAAAGAAGGCTTAAGATGAAAAAAGAAAGGATAATAAGACAAGTTATGGGCTGATAGCTTGATAGTGACTTGAAGTATTATAGAACTTATTTATGGTGGAGGAAGAAGCAAAATCTAGTCCCCTTTTATGCCGCGTATCCACCCAAATCACCTCTTCTTCATAGTAATGATATTTAATTTTTTACTTTCAATTCAAAGTTCTCTTTCACTAATCCTATTTTTGTAATTATTAGCAACAAATGATTAGATAATTAAATTCATGCATCCTCAAACAGCACAACAAGTACTTGTATAGTAAATTAGTAATTGAGAAATGCTCACCAACTACATATACTATTATATAGTTTTGCATAATAATTTTGCAATAACTTGAAACATAGAAACCAAACTATTCTCATTTGAGACTAAATCATCACAAAATTGTTCCTTACAAGTAACTTGTACATAGATATCATTAAAGAACACAGACATATTTGAATAAGAAAACATAAATGATAATACTAAGTATCATTTACAGAAACTAACATCTACAAATCTAAGATATCAAAAGCAATCACAATTCACAATTGTTGAATACCATTTGATCAATGTATTAAATCATTTCCAAATTCACGGTTTTTCTAAATCATTTTTTAAAATAACAGCAATTCCAGATGTTGATTCCTGCTTTATGTTTGTTCTTGTAATAGAAAGATCAAGGGTACTTAACGAGCGTGTAAATATTCTTTTTACTGGTACTTGAATACGATCATCAATGCCATTATACCCACCAACATTGGGCATATAAGATACCATTTTCGTGCTGCACATGTTAAACACTTTTACATGCATTTGAGGTGGAAGATCTTTTAAAACATGAGAGATATCCAACTTATGTTTCGATTTCAAATCATCTACTTCTTTTTGCTGTTGAATAAACAACTGATCAAGTGTATCAGCAATAGCCTTCAAATCTGATTCATTGTAAGAGTTGCCATCGTAGTTTTCCACACTATATGATTTACTAACATCCTTGTGGCTACCTTCTTCATTTTGAGTAAATGGAACCGTAATATCATCCTTCTTGTTATAAGAATCCTCTTCTTGACTACTTAATTTATGAAACACATCATCACTCTCACTTCGTAAATGAAAAACTGTAGGACTTTTTGGTGGTAACCCACCACACTCATGTTCGTGCTTTAAAAGCTTATTTGACACCGATTCAGTGTATGGCTCATCAACATTCTCAATTGGCTCTCCATGCTCATGACCAAACTTATCGCTCTCAAATTCTTGCCAACTAGAATTCCCAATTGGTGACATCTCATCACGAATTTTTGGAGAGTCTTTTGGAGAATCTGACCAAAACTTACGACCAGAAGGTAGTTGGTCTGGAAAAACATTGCTTGTAGAAAACGGTGATGCATTTGACAATGGAGAAGTATCATCCTTATTTTCACAGGCGTTATGTGGAGATGAATCCTCCTTAGGGTCAGTTTTAGGGCTATCAAATGAATCACCAGCAGATGAATCCTTAGTTGACCAATTTGGGATTAGATCCCGAACTTCAGAGTCAATCATGTCAGCAATGGTTGTAATATCTTGATCTGTCAGGTCCAGTTCATGAACCATTTCACTAGCAACCGCAATTGACGTGTCGGCTTCAATGTCAAATGGAAAATGAATATTGCGGCATTTATCTGTACCATTCCAAAACACTTTAATAATCTACAATATATGCTTGGCATAATAGATGAATGTAGTCAAAGAAAAAAACTAACCTGTGGAATCAGCTATCCGCAATTTTATATATATTGTGTTGACATCTTTTCTTTCTCCTTCTAGTGTAACGTCTCTACTTAGCCCGGGATTAGGATTGTCCAACAATATTCCTTTATCAATATCAGACTTGCTGTGAATACTCTGAGTAGATTCTGTAATAATTTCAAAATGTAATTTGAATAAATGAAAAGCAAGTAAAAGTTTTATAATGTTCTTACTTATCAAATAACATACCTGAACCTGAATCTAAATGCGGAATATTAACATGTGATGAATGTGCAGTGGTCTCAGGACTCACGTCTGACAAAAAAGGGTCATTTAGGAGGTCTTTGGCGGATACTCTCTTGCTCACATCAGCTATACATCTCTCAATAAATTCTTTCACATCAGGATCTGTCACTTTTGCCAAAGACGCAGGCTTAATTCCCTAGCAAATGTAAGGAAAAAAAAATACCATGAAGACTATCTATATGTATCCACAAAAATGCATAGTGCATGATGTAAAAATCGATAAATAAGTTGTACTCTGTATTATTTTCAAGGCATAAAACCCACTAAAAGGTCCAAATTTAACTTCATTCACAATTTACTTCAATTAAAGAATGCAAATGAAGAGCATTGTGTGACAAAACGTACTAATATTTGCCAATGAAAGTACGTTGAATATAGTAATTTCAATGATGCAGCTGTACAAATACTGTAATAACTCTATATTTTAGATAGATTGAAATCAACGCACTAGCCTACTTTGAATCTGATGATTGTAAAGGAAGTAGCAAAATAATTTTTTTGTCCAAATATAAACATAAAAATAAGTTATCATAGTGAAAACACTTAAGGACATTACATTATATTGGAAGTTGATTAAGTGAATTAAACAAAACAGGGATATGAATGCCTGAAAAGTACAAAAGTCATATTGTCAACTAAGCTCTAATGAAGCATGGAAATTTAATTCCTAACACAGCAAACGGGCAATTGATCTTCAAAACACTTCACTATTACTCAATATCTGAATTGCTATTGAGTGGTTGCGGATATTCATGAAGAAAAACATCGAGGTACATTACCATAAACCATTAACTACTTTCTACCAAACATGCTGCAGATAATTCCAGCGAATAGCTACATAGTATTAACTATCAGGAATTGTTTCCTTAACTGATATTTAATTGACTATAATTAGTAGGTAGCTTTAATACACCATGCCGCCATCATACAGCAGATGATACAATAAGCACTTTACACTTAAGAGAAAGGTTCATGTCCCATAAAGTGTCATCATCAACTCTCACAAGTAAAACTAGGGACAATATCAACATTCACCGATGATCACAGGTAATTTCTAAACAATACTAAGATAAGGATAATGCAAGGACTGAAACAAAAGAGATGCATAAACAAGACAAACAACCAAAGAATTGGGAGTTTAAGGAAGCTTTTCAATGCCTTACCGATGTCACTTTCTTGTATATTTGAGCAGCATTGGCACATTCAGTATAAGGGTACTCAAAAGTCACTAATTCTAGCAAACACATGCCAAAGGCATAGATATCAACAAGCTCGTTGTAATTTTCTTCATAAAGCTCTGGTGCCATAAATTCCGGAGTACCTGAGGTAAGAACAACAATTACCACAAGAGCTCTACCAACATTCAAGTAATGATTAAAAAAAAAGGGTGGACTTAAATTTAAAATTCCAAAAAAGAAAATTTATCCTCACCTATGACACTATGTGCTCCATTAGCATGGTGAAGAATTGCGGCCAATCCAAGATCACCAATCTTTAGTTCTCCGCTATTGCCATTCACAAATATGTTATCACACTTAAGATCCCTATGTATAATAGGAGGATCATGACTATGAAGGTACTGAAGCCCTTCCAAAATTTGTCTAGACCATTTCTTCAATGCCCTCAAGTCAACATGCCTATGCTTCTGTCGATATCTACCATGGAATTGAATCAAATGTCTCAATAAGGCGAACAAAATATCCAAATAACAAATAGAGACGCGATTAGAAACATACTGGCGAAGGGTGCCTGATGTGAAAATCTCAGTAATGAAGTTGATATGCTCATTCTTTGTGTCAACCCAAGAATTATAGAACTTTATAATGTTCTTATGCTTCAAGGTCTTAAGGAGATGAACCTCGGAATAAAGCCGTTCCAAATCCTCAGAATTTCGCAATAGTTCCGAAATCTTAACTTGATTCCAAGCTACTTCTAAACCTTCTATTTCATCAAATCCTCTATATCTATTTTTTTTTTCTTAAATTAAGGATTAGCATACTTTTTTATCATCAATTATAAACTAATTAGCATAATAACAAAATGAAAACAGTGTAAATTAGAATAAATAACTAAAAAGGATACACTTTCTTAGAAGCCCCTCTTCCAAGAATTTCCTTATACTGCAAAATACAGGTGAATAAACAAAATTGGCAAAAACCCATTACAACAAACATCCAAAATCAAATTATTTAACAAACAAAGGTATTACATTTACACAAAATTAAAAAAAAAAATGATCAAAATTATGATTAATTTTCAAAAGTTATAAGATAGGAATATAATTAATCAAAATAGCAAAATTTATGAAATTCGATTTAAGAAATTTATACTTACCCTACCGTAACGTTTAGTTGGATCTTTCTCAACAAAATCACTGTCGGAGTCGTCCTGTTCTTGCTCCGAGGATGCCTCCCCGCGCATAATTCAATTAACCCAGAAAATCAAGAAGAATTATTTTAAGAAATAAACCCAATTTATCAATTCAATCAATCAAAATGGAAAATTTTGGATCTTTAAATCTGATCGTTGCATTAAAAAATCTGGATCGAACATCGAAACAAACCCAATTGAAGATCAAAGATTATTATGAAAAAAATTATGTGATTTTGATGATTTAGATATGGTGTAAATTGGTAAGAATTGTAACGAAGAGTCGGGAAAACGGGAGAAAAAAAAATATATGCAAAAATAGATGTTTGAATTTGGGTAACGAGTCAAATAGTTAAACCTTGAAATGCCTAATTATGATGACATAAATGGAGATTATATATGGCGGGTTAAATATTTGACATTTGGAGTTTGTCGTTTGGCACTTGGCTCATTCAAGATTTGAAGATCATTCTATAACATAGAAAGTCTACTTAGGCTTAGGTGGCACTAGTGTAATGAAAAAAAGTCAACTTTTGTTTTACTTGATTAAAGACTTAAAAAGTTAATACTTGTACTTTAATAGTTCAAATTTGGTTAATGACAAATGCAACTTGAAATATAACAAGAGCTCAAGGATTAATCTTGTGCAGATAATCTTTATTATTATTGGGATAGGAAGCATGTTTATTGACCTTGGACCCTAAAAAAAAAAATTAAAAAAAATCTTTTAATGGCAAAAGTGTGCATCTAATCGTGTGATAAACGTTTGATTTTAGTTTATGTTTGTTAGCTTCTTTTATATTATTTTTTATTCGTTTTAGGTTAATTTATTCATGGTAAAGGGTCTGATCCGATTGACTTAATTGAGCTAAGTTGAACTTAAGTGAACTGAACTGAACCAAGCTGAACTGAATTGTTTATGAGAGAAGGAAAGTAGGAATTGAAATGAAATGAACTGAAAGTAAGCTGAAGAGAACATGTGCTAAGTTGTTACATACTCTTTCTAGAAAATAATTTTATATACTATATGGTTATGCTAATGTGTTTTACGATTTAATTTCATTGTTGTCATGCACGCACAAGTCTGAACACGTTGAAAATTATAATTAGATTCCAACAAGTCTATAATCTGTTATAATGTATGTAACACTGTAACGTGAATGATTCAATTGATTTGTTCTATATATACTACAAGTACTTTGTTGGGATCTTAAGTAGGGATGGCAACGGGTCGGACCATTCACTTTAAAGTATACTTAAGATCCGTTTAAGTTAACTATCGCCAAGTAGTAAACCACAAGTGTAAAGCTTAAGATCCGAACTTTAACGGCACACTTTAACCATTAAGCTAGTAGGTGTTTCCTTATTTTTGAATCCTTTATATATTAATGAAATAATGAGTATTAGAGTATACACGAAGTATCATTCTCAAAGCTCTGTGTTCTGACCTGAAAAGGCATGACTTTTGCCGTAAAATATGCCATTTGATTAAAAAAAATCAGCTGAGATTGAAGCTTAATATGAATTATTAATTTCAATCTTTTCATGTGCTATGTCATTTGAATGATAGTGCTGGTTGTTGGTGAGACAGATTATAAAACTCTACATTGCTATATGTTGGGAAATTTAGATGTTATTATTAGCATGAATCTGGGAACTCGGACAGTTAACTTAAATAATAATCTACTACTCGTAAGTATTACTACCTCTGTTTCATGTTTTTTGCAACTTTGGGCATTATTTGTGAGAAATAAAATATTACAAATTTACAAAAAACATGAACGGAGGTAGTATGTTAATTGTTAACAATCGGTCATCAAAAAATAATTCGAGGTTAAGGCAAGTATGGAGTGATAAAGGCATAAAATTAAAGCTAAGGATTAGCCTTTTGCATATTCCTCCATAAAACATTAGGTAGTTTATCAATTTCCAAACATTTAGGGTCTGTTCTCATACGTTTATTTTCAGTTCAGATCAACTCCTAATTTCCTTCTCTTATAAAATATTAAGTTCAGTTCAGTTCAGTTCAGCTCAGCTCAGTTCAGTTCAGTTCAGTTCAGCTCAGTTCAATCAATGAGAACAAGCCCTTATACTTTGTATTAAAAACACAAATCTTAAAACTAATAATTCATTATATGTGTAATTTGTTCAATATTAAGTCTTTCATATTTCTTCTAACTTAATTTATTTTACGCAAACAATCAATGCGTCCTTCCTCCCACTTCTGAACAACAAAGCTTGATTATTCTTTTTTTTTTTTTTTTAATTCAGTTAAATGAGGTGCAAGACCAAAACAAGAAAAACAAAACAACAAAACTTGATTTTTATTTGTTGAACAAGAATAGCATATCATATAACTAATATATAAATCTAAACTTTGTAGGATAAAAAAGTTAGTTTAGAATTTTATTTTCAATCAACTTTGGATATAATTTTAGGATAAAATTGTTAATTTAGAGTTTTATTTTTGATAAAGTACCAATATTTCATATGTACAAATTGAATTATAATTTTATTCAAAAATTAATTAGATTATAACTCTCATAAATTATCATATAAATTTATTTTTTGTATCATAATATTTTTTTAGAGCGAAGGAATTAGTTCAAAATGTACCATATCCATGGGTTATAATATATTCTAATCAATTAAAATAATATACTTCACAATCTAATATAATTTTATTATTGTGTGTAGACCTGTTAATCAGGTCGGGTCACGAGTCATTTCAGACAGGGTCAAGAAATGTTTTTCACCAATATTATTATTATTAGTCATTACATGTCTACAAGTTTAAATCGTTACAATAATACGTCAATTGCTAACTAATTTTGTATCAATGATATATTTTAAAATTTGACATATAGATTTAAATATATCTTAAAATTTAATAAACAACCCGGGCATTGCACGGGTACAAAACTAGTGATAAATAAAGCACATTATCTCTCTATTGTTAGAGCACGCATATGAAAAATAGAAAACACATTTTTTTTTCTATAAATAGCATGTGGGTTGTACAGTGTACGGGCCATAGAGCTAGTTTAATACGGAGTATTAATATTTTTCCTAACTTCAAATCAATTTTTGTATGTATGTTTCTCAATTAGAGGCAGCTAGAATTCAAGCGTCACAAACATAAATTAAAAAGTTTATCTAATCACTTATGTTATTATGTATAAGATGTATAATGAAATATGAATGCAACGAAAAAGAAAAAAAAAAAAAAAAAAGGATAAGCGAATTTGACGTAGTTCGATCACTAATTATATGTTAGCTACATCTCTAATGAATCGCTCGAAGCGTTAGATAGCATGCCAAGTTTCCATCAACTTATTTTATTAAATTATCCATTACTCCATTATTCTTCCGTTACCTGTAAACATTGATGATTAGAAGTAATGTTTTGAAGTGATGAGGAAATATACTATTAGAACAAACTGAATGCCCATCTTTAATTAATGACACCTTGTCAAAAGTATTCCATCACACTAGTCATATTCCCTCCCATCCTTTAAATTCTTCTTATTTTCCTTTGACATACATGTTTGTCAATGGAAATTTTAAATCACGAATAACTCTAATTACGTGTTATTGATAGAAAATCACTCGTTAAAGATTAATAATTTTTAAAGTACCTATTGGGAAAAATCAAATAAAATCTTACTTAATAATGTTTTATGTATGTTTGAAACAATTTGGGATCAAAAGAAGTAACAAAGCGACTTAAGACGACTGAAGATAACAATTTTCCAATGACTATAGTACCATTACTCTTAGTTTGAAAGAGTTTCCAGGCTATGTTATCTGATCTCAAACGACCCAATTAATCTTTTTTTTTTTTTTTTTTGAGTTGAACTGAACTGAACAGAATTGAATAGACTTGAAACGAATATTTTATGAGAGAAGAAATTTAGGAGCTGAACTGAACTGATTGAAGCTTAAATAAATTGAATTGAAATTAAGTTGAAGTAAACAGACCCTTAAACTATTTGCCGCGTCTCGGAAACTGCTATTCGAGTCCAAGACAAGGTTCAAAGCTGACCAAAATTTAAAACTCTAGTATTGAATATTGATATAGAATTATAGACATATAGTGATTTGATGTAATCTTCTTGATATTTAGAGGCAAAATAATATTTAAGGTTAAATACACGCGATGAATGCTTTACAATTTAAAGTATATATAAAAACTCATAAACTTTTTACATTAAAAATATTATATATAAAGGAGTACATTGTATTTCATAAAGTATTACTGTAGATTTTTAAGTGTATACCAACTCCTTGAGAGTTGATTTAGGTTACCAACAAGGCCGTGAATTTGAAAGTTAACACATAATGATCTAGGAGACTAGAGCGATATAAATGTTCTAATTAATTGAAAAGGTAGATGTAAATCGTATGAACATTTAGAAACATAGCTTAATACATCTAAAAACGCATTGTTTGAATTAGAAATGAACAGATCAATTCGAGTATATTCAATTTTGGGCCGAATCCATCTAAGTTCAGGTCCATTATTCCTTCTCTTATCGTTAGATGGGACTATATATGACTACTTAACACATTATATTATGATGATTTTTTTTTTCTTGGTTTGGACTTGAATTGAAGAGTTGATAATTAATTAATTAGTACAGGGCCTCAAGCCTTGTTCAACAATCAAATTTTCGCTTAGTTGCAGCTTTACAATATTAAAAGACCGCTAAGTTATAATTTACCGTAGTAGCAAGATCAAACCGTTTGATCTCTATATTGCCATATTGGTGGTGTATACAAGTATTATTTATACTTCATATAAGATGTTTGATAATGATAAATTTGATTATTGATTAATACGGAGTACAAGATTACCAACTTTGGGACAAAATAGCTAAAACCTGTGAGAAAACTTTGTTGCAATATGTTTTCTCCTGTTTAAGCTGAAAAGAGAGCTTTTCATCCATTCCAAAAGCCAAATAAACAATTTTAGAATATATTTGTTTGCCAACGTTAATAAACAATAAGGCAACAATCAATTAAAAACCAACCGGAATTCAATTACCTAATATGACCATAGTTTATCGAAGTACTACGTATGATATTATTAAAAACAATATCATATATTCATATGTACAAACAGTCAAACACACATATATATACTGATATACACATACGGAGTATAAACTATCCTGATTCCTGAATGATCGAATAAGTATTAGAGTTCACCATAAACATATAACATGAAATAAATTACGACCAATATCTTTAAAACTCTGTTAAAAAATAAATATTGATAATGTGTATATAGAGCTGAAATATTCCCAATCAAGGGCAGACTAAATGAGAAAAAACAGACAAATTATACAAGGTGATTAGATGCCTTTTAGATATGAAGAAGAAGAATTGACCCATGTTGTAATCAAATCCAATCTGTCCTGTCTGATTTAGCCCACTTGAAGATTACACACCCAGCTGTGAGATCCCATTTTCCAGCTCCTCTTTCTCTGTCTTGAAATTTGAACTCCTCTCTCCTTAATCTCCTCCCATGTGCTTCCCATCCACTTCTTGCACCACCCCTTGAATATTCATCAATTTAATCTAAAACGGAGGGAGTAGTAATATCATACGTCCCGTTGAATCGCATTGAGATTAGCAAATATTAGGTACACTCGAGAGCATGTATTGTGATTTTTTATGTACTCCTAACCACTTGAGAGTTAGGAGCCCATGCTCGCTCGAGTGTAAATAAATATTTGAGGCTCGCACGTTCCAATTTCTTGTTATACATTGGAAATAAGCCTTAACTTATTAAGGCTATATGATTCCAATCATTCAACCTTCCAAGCATATAGGAATAAACAAAACTCGGATGACCCATTTCCATTTAACCCATCACCCAACGATCCAGAGCTCTCGGAAAGTAGGGATGACAATGGGGTGGACGATAAAGATAGAGACGATGACAATGACGATGACAACGACATTGGAGACGTAGATGATAAACTCTTTGACGACGATAACGGAATAATAGGCTTAAAGATAAACAAAGCATGCCTTAATCCAGGACTAAATAACCAATCATGTACATCCCAATACATTTCTACCCTTAACCTATTCAAATGTATACTCCCATTTCCTCTAAACTTCCATTGCAAATGCTTGACTTCAATTACCACTTTTCCATCAACTTTTACCTCCATTTCCAAATCCATTTCAACTTTATTATTCTTACACTCTATAACAATATCATGAAATCTACCCTTTTCATGAAACTTAGCCTTAGTAAAAAATTTCTTTTTACCAAAAATATGTTCCTTTTTTGTGACTAAAATAGCCTCACTAATACAAGGCCTACACCCAGTTTTCTTATATGCTTCATTTTTCAAATCACCAACTAACAAAACGACTTCGTTTTCATAAACAATAGCAACAAAATACTCTGAACTTGGCTCTGTCTCACCAATATTAAACTTGGCAGATTTCAAATCCCAGAAAACATCCACTTTTTTACCATCATCTATTGCAAAACTCTTTGACCCATGTTTCCTCCAAAAGTACCATGGCTTCAGCTCCACCTTACAAGTGTAATGCCCGTCACCATCCGACGACAACGACGACGATGACGATGATCTCCCTTCGTCGTAAGGGCTCGATATCGTAACCGATAACCCGTGGAGGAGGAGGAGATTCCTACACCATGTAACGGTGATCACACGGCTATGGTTCCCTAGCTTAGTCCTATACATTGACATGATCACACTTTGACCCGCCCGGGTCACGGCCGTGTTTTCTAACTCATCCGTGGACCGTGCCCCGGATGAGAAACACGTCGGGATCCCAATTGGATCCGCTATCATATTTATCTATCAGAGGTTCAGATATACACAACCTTATTCCTATATATACAGTCCAGTATCGTATACTGGACTGTACTTAATTAGGATATACAACTACTTGAGATTGTTTAGGACACTTTTATGATGATAAATGTTGAATGTGATTGACTATGAATAGAAAGTATAAGAGTGAATAATATAAGAGAAATAAAATGAGTAAAGAGGAGAAGGATAAAGTGAGGGAGAAGGAGAGTCACAGCTCATAAGATGTGCAATGTGATGTGAGTCATAGATAGTAGTAGATGGATAGATGCTGCCAGCATTGATTAGAATAAAATAAAATTTATAATTATTATGTATCAAACTGGCAAATAGATGGCAAAAGCCAAATTATGAGTTGTTTGAATGACAGCTTATCATTTTTTTATAATTCTATTTACTTTATAATATGGTCAAGAACATAACTACCTTAATATATATAAGTATGACTTTTTGCTTTTCCTTCCTCTTTTGGAGAGTTTTGGGGTTAATTAATTAATTGAGGCTTCAATGATTACACTAACCTAAGTCCTAATAAGTAGCTCTGTTTGAATCAAAGAGAGTTATATATATGTATATGATTCATATAATTTAAATAGTAGTATTAAAAATTTGATTAAGTTGTATGTTGCTTGTGGTCCTTAATCCTTATTACAAGATTACTTCCTTTGTTGAAGAATGTAAGCTTGACCTAAAAAGTCAAGTAAGAATATAATTTGAAAATGAAGGGAATATTTTGCCGTGATATTTTTTTTGTTGTGGTAAAGAATGCCACAAAATTTACTTATATATTAAATTTCATAACTCGAGTAATCTTTCATGAGTTTAAGACATAATTAAACTAAGTAGGTGGACATCCATACTGTTATAAATTGCTAAGTTGCTATGGTAGATAATAATATAAGCCAGGATACTTAAATTTTTTGTGAGAAGAATATTTTTTTTCTTCATAGTATGCATTATTTTACTTTGAAAAAAGCTGTTTTTATATATCCTTTTTATAAATCCAAATAATTGCTATGAATAATTTCCATTATCATAACATTCACAATAATAAATTAATAATGCTAAGAATATAGAAAACTCTTGTAATATTTCTGTTTGATAATTCGACAATAATTGTTAAACAAATAAGTGACGACATTGATAATTCAACAGAGCATTGAATGCAAGTTGATAATAAAATGATTTATATAGCATGGTTTTCTGGACATGACAGTATACGATATGGGATTGCTAATTTGCTATATGACCAGTCAATAATCGAAATTAGACATTTCAATTGACAAATTCTACAATCTACACTCAACTACCTTTTTTCTACTTACAGGTTACAAACTTACAACTTACAAATATGGAATTTTTTAATTCCCATACAATTTTGGAAAGCTTGCTATTTAAAAACTTTACAAGAATTATTGGGCTTTAATTTTTATGAGTCAAACTGGCATTCAGTGATAGGGGCCCATTCTTAGAAATGGGACCCAATAAAAGCCAATTTCAAGAATTGGGTTTATCCTAGTTTGGGCTACAGTTTTTGCGTATTGGAAAGTTTGGCCCAAGGAAGTTGCTTGTTAGATTAGGGTCGTTTCAATTCAGTTCATCTCCAATTAGTTCAATTCAATTTCTAATTTTCTTCTCTCATGCAATATTCAGTCCAGTTTAATTTCAATAAGTTCAGTTTATAGGGCCGGCCCGGAGGGGTAGGCCTCGAGTGCGACCGCCTAGGGCCCACGCCAGAAAGGGGCCCAAAAATTCAAAAAAATAATTCAATTTGCATAGCTGTAGAATTTAAACTGTTTAAACTGTAGTTTTTACTCGTTAAAAAATAAGCTACTTTTAAAAAAAGATAATAAATGCATTTAGTTAGCAATTAACATTAAATTACTTAGATGTCAATTAGGTGGAGATAACTATGCAATATAACCTCTTCTTCTTCTAATCTTTCGATTTTTATGAGTATCTGTTTCAAAATATTAATCTTTTCAATTACACCGTTTCATATTTATTCAATTACCGAAATATTATGCAAAGTTATTACTCCAGTATTGTGTATGGAGACTTACTATTCAAATAATTTAAGTTATTTTTGTTGTCTTATATTTAAAGCTATTGCGTGTAAAAAAATTTGTTTACGTAAGGGGCCGTTTTCTTACATTATGCCTAGGGCCCATAAATTTCTAGGAACGGGGCTGTCAGTTTAGTTTAGTATATCAGAATAGACCCTAAGCCTATTACACATTAAACCTAAAAATGTAGCTACCCTATGGTCTATGGAAGGAGGAGTATGGAGTTTATGGGTTGCTTGCTAGAAATGCTTGTGTCTTTGAAGGGAAACATTTGAACATGGACAATTTTTGTTAACCTAAAAAGGAGAATATTATAAATTCTTTTTCATGTTTTTGAACATGGACATGTTTGTAATTTTGTACAGTTGTCCTATTTTAACTGGACGCGTATATTAGTATAGAATATTGATCAATGATATTTTTAATTATCACTAATATAAATCAAAAAATTTGACATTAGAAAACTACACATTGAGGCAATCCATTTTACTATATTCACTTATCTCATTTTTTTTTTATTCACTCATCTCAAACCTGACAATTTTGTAGACAAATACGAGTAAACAAATATTCATTGAAAACTTTTCCTTGAGACAATTCATTTTCCTACATTGACTATCTCATATTTTTAATGTGAAAATTGTGTAAATAAACAAGAGCAAACAAATATTCATAAAATGCAGATTCGACAGCTATTGATTTAGTTGAATTACAAAAATGTAATATTCATACTCCATTTTTGTAAAGTGAAACATTTCAATCTTTTGCAATTTCTTTTTTAATGGGATCTTTTGCAATATTTATCTAACCTACTTTGACAAACATAAGTGATCTATACGTAAGTAGTAAGAAAAAAAAAAAATTATATTCTTATAGGTTTTGTTTAAATCTTTATTAGTATGTTAATATTCAATTACTGTACTATAATTTTTACTTATTGGTAATTAAAAATTTTACTTTTTAAATTTTTATGTTGATATTTGTGAACAAAAGACATGTTTTACTTAAAAAAAAAGGGAGTAATTATTAAGATTTTTTTTTTTGAAAAATTATTAAGATTTTTTTGGTATTTATTTAAAAAAATCTCTCCATAAATAGTGATTTAAAAATAAAAAAAAAACATAACACGTGAAAAAGAAAAAAATATGGGGAATAGAGAGAAAGGGAAGGGCCCTCCAGCTTGTTGTGAAAATGAAGTTTCAACTATTTTTTCCAAATTTTTTTAATAACGATGGGTCACGTGACCCACCACATGACCATGTCTATTTCCACCAGCCAATAACATTGTGACACAATCATAAAATGAAATCCCCATATTTAGGAACAAAAGCATAGAGATTAGAGAAATAGAGGAAACAAATTAGGTTTCAATGTCAAGTATAAAATAGATTGTTTGTTATTTCTTGAGTTATTGTTCTCCATATTTATTTCCTCTGTTTTATGTTTTATTTGAGAGAGGCAGAAAAATGACAGGAGTTTCAAAGGAAGAAAGCGTAAGTTTAGACCTTTTGAGGCAAAAGATGAGAGATTTTGCTAAGGAAAGAGGCTGGGAGCCTTATCATACTCCTAGGAACCTGCTTTTGGCTCTGGTATTTTTATATCAACTATCTTTTTCTCTAATTTTTTCTTTTCTTTTCTTAATTTGTTGTAATTATGTGATGTGATTGGTTTGGTTTACAAATAACATGGTCGAGAACTCGAGACTAAAATTTTGTTGTTGTAGTAGTAAAATAATTTAAGTACCAACGTATCGTGCATTTAAATTGCTACATAATAAACTCTAAAATAGGTTACCCGATATAAAAATAAAGTAATAAATTTAGACTTCTTGGTTGTAATGTTGTACTATGAATTTCAAGAGAGAGTAGAGATTCCCTCTCAATTTTAAGAGATTATCGGATAGAATTTTTTTTTTTGTAGAGATTTAGGATTTAGAGTGATTTTGGCTCCGATACCATGTCAAATTAGAGAAGATAATTAGAGTGAATAGTTTTTCTGTATCTTGTATTACGATATGAACAGTATATATATACAACCTAAGAATAGAGATTAGGGCTTATACATAACAACGGCCCAATAGCTATATACATTATATGGCCTAACATTGATTCTCATCACCCTATCCATGTGACTCTCTAAATACTAAAAAGTGTGAACCTCAAGACTTAATGATGTGAAAGTGTTTGAACTTGGTAATAGTTTGTGCTTGCGTTGTTCCGAAATTCTTGATGGGCTGTATAGTTGCTTCCATGAATGTTGGAAATTTGGAATGCTAGTGTACTATCATCCTCATTCCTTAATCAAGTCTTGTTATTTAAAATTTATTGTTAATTGGATTATTAAAGCAAAATTGATTCTAAAGCTATTTTTTACTCCGTACTAATTAAAATTGAAATTCACGTATCACTTTTGTTGATTAAGTCATGTTTAAGGCGTGTTTTATTCACATGATTTCCCCACTTGAATTTATTTGAACTTGTTGTACTTTATTAAAACATTTTTAATTTGTAATTTGAACATGAGAATTTTTATTAAAATTTATTTTTCTAAATTTATGTTATTTAAATTTATTTCTCCAGCATATTTTACAGTTTTGTGTGCGATGGACTATACCATGTGACCGCTTATTAAAAAAACGAAGTAATCCCTATGATACTAATCGAGCAACACCTTATACTGTTCGACCAAGTAACCCATAAAATGATAATGAAGTAAAACCTGTAACACTGACGAAGTAATTCCATGGTAGCTGACTACACGGTATCGTCAGTCACATATAAAAATTTGTTTGATTTTTCATATAATAAAAGAAAATAAGGTAAATAGAAGTAGACTTCTCTATTATCTACATATTATTTATCATGATAAATTTATATTGATCAAACTGATTTCTATTACGTAATTGAATAGAACGTTCTCAGATTTTATGAAGGCAATTTTATGTAAATTGTTTTATCCATTGCTTTATACAAGTAGCTTTTTAAAAAGTATAGGTCTTGATTAAAGTCTAGTAGATCTGTAGGTGTTTTGTCTAGTGGTTTGTCATGTGTTTATAGTGCGTTTCATTCAATTAGGCTAACTAATCGCACTATGACACTATTCCACTTTCCTTAAGTGCATCAAATGATGTGTTCCAGTCAAACCTCACTGTCCAATGTAAAAACGTGATGCTATATTGCTATGTGTCATGACTGCCATTTTCTTTTTTTTTTTTTTTGGTTAATTCAACGGTTGTTTTTAGGTAATTTTAGGCCATATAATATGTATAGCATATGGGCCGATGTTCCGAGCCCTAATCTCTTAGGTTGTATATATATACTTGTGTATACGCTAATACAAAACACAACTCTCTATTCTCTCTACTCTTTCTAAATTGACATGGTAACGGAGCCAAAATCATTCTAATCCCTAAAATCAATTTCTAGATTCTAATTTCTACCATCAATTTCACCAAAATATATATATATATATATATATATATATATATATATATATATATATATATATATTTATATTTATAATATTTTTTACTTTAAGCGAGTAATAAATTTATAATACCATCAACAATGTATACTATTTTTACATGCTCAAAAAGACTTGTCATTGATTCTATATTTATGTAATAGAAGCAATTTTATTCTATGATTAGATGTCTTAATATATTCGTAATTAAGTAACGTACGGATGATAAAAACAACACAACTATCTAAAATCATGTTGTATTTTTATTGATTATGAAATACGTAGTATGTGATAACTAAACTTGACTAAAGTCAATCAAGATTGTGTTTTTATGTACACATTAGTTCAAAAAAATTAACGACGAAAAAAATGCAGGTGGGAGAAATGGGAGAGCTATCGGAGATATTCCAATGGAAAGGAGAGGTGGAAAGAGGTTTGCCAAATTGGAAAGAAGAAGAGAAAGTTCATCTTGGTGAAGAACTCTCTGATGTTCTTCTCTATTTGATTCAACTATCTGATAGTTGTGGCATTGATCTTGGTCAAGTTGCTCTTCGCAAACTTCAGCTTAATGCTGTTAAGTATCCTGTTAACAAATAACTTAGTTGATAGCCTTGAATTGATGCATGTAACCTTATTTTTAGACATAGTTGTATCTTTGCCTAGCCGTGGCTAACACACTCCCGTTGCATGACAGGGCGATTATTTATTTTATTTTTGTTTACTTAGGGATATCTTACTTAATTCTACGGATTTCTTTTAATTTTGACCACGTATACACACCATAGTCACCAAGTCGGGATGTGAAATCAGTAAGATAAGTAAAATCATTATTTTCGACAAGGTTACACTAATCCAAATATGTTTCGGGAGCACTATCAAGGACTCAAGGTAATGCCGAATATGTTGAACAAGTAAAACCTTAAAGTCACAAACCTATATATTAAGTTTTTTTGGTGTTTAGTGAGCCATAAGGGCAGATGATGAAAGTCGATCTCAAAATTCCCTGAAAATTGGGAAGGAGGCTCAAACCCTTGAGGTATCATCATTCATTCCCTCTCATACATCAAGTAGTAGGTACACCTTGATAAAATATCATATATGTTGGTCCATGAATCCCATGATCAGCTAGATATGAGTGGTAGCCTTGTACAGTTGTACATAGGTGGAATTAGATATAGTTTTATATGTAGTATTATATCATATCAATCAATTTATAATTATCATTATTATTAACAATATTATAGCCTAAAATGAAGATTATGCTATCAACAATAAAGGGACATAATCATAAAAGCAAATCTCCAGTTTAGGAACATAAGCATAGAGATTAGAGATAGAAAGGAAACAATCAAACAGATACCTTTCAATATCAACTGATATCATCAAATTTCCAAAATTTTCCTTCTTTTAAGATTTACCTCCCTCATATTTATTATATTTTATTTATTTATTTTTATTTAAGTATAGGATAGATTGATATTTCTCGAGTTAATATTCTCTTTCATTTCTTCCTCCTCTGTTTTTTTCCTCTGTTTTTTTTTAGAGAGAGAGAATAATGACAGGAGTTTCAGGGGAAGAAAGCGTAAGTCTAGACCTTTTGAGGCAAAAGATGAGAGATTTTGCTAAGGAAAGAGGCTGGGAACCTTATCATACTCCTAGGAACCTTCTTTTGGCTCTGGTATTTTTATATCAACTATCTTTTTCTATTGTTTTTTCTTTTCTTCCCTTTAATTTATTATGTTTACCTCTAGATTTGTTTTGGTTTGATGATGTGATGTAATGGGTCAGGATTATAAATGATATTGTCGATACTATAATTAAGGTTACTACTCGTACAAAATAACTTTATAAATGTTACCTTAGATAAAATTTGGACCTTTTAGTTGTATCATGTGAAATAGTGAAAGTGTTTAAACATTTAGTTGTTTTCATGAACAGATTTCTTGATAAATGTAAGGGCAATATTGCTCTATGATTAGATTTCTTAATAAATCATTAATTACGTAGCAGAAGGATGATTAAAAAAAATGATCATGTCATTCTATTATTGGTTAATGGTTTGGAATATGTGACAATTAAATTTAGACAGGGTCAACCAATATCTTGTCTTTCACGCATATAACTGATATGAAAAAATGTAGGTGGGAGAAATGGGAGAGCTATCGGAGATATTCCAATGGAAAGGAGAGGTAGAAAGAGGTCTGCCAAACTGGAAAGAAGAAGAGAAAGTTCATCTTGGTGAAGAACTCTCTGATGTTCTTCTGTATTTGATTCAACTCTCTGACAGTTGTAACATTGATCTTGGCCAAGTTGCTCTTCGCAAACTTCAGCTTAATGCTGTTAAGTATCCTGTTAGCAAATAACTTCTTGATGTAACCCTAAAACTATTAGACATGTAGTTATATTATGACTATTGCATTGTTTAATTTCCATTGCTATATAATTGATGGAAACTTTGATTCTGTTCTATTTTTTGTTTAAACTATATGATATGATTTTTTGCACAGCTTGTTATCTTGACATGTTGTCATCAGTGTACAATACGCTCTTGTTACATGACAAGGTCACAAGGATATGCGATTACATTCTTACATATGTATACTCAGTTACCCTAGTCGCTAATAAGTTGAGAAATGAAATAAAATCTACATAAGACTAGGTGAAACCATTCTACTACACAAGGTATAATCCATAGCTAAGATCGAAAGAAATATGACATAGAATGATATGTGATTAGGGGATTTTTATCCACCAATCAGCATCCGACACGTGGGCCAGCCAGGTTTCGCCACGTGTCCTTCATGTAGGCCAATAGGAGCCTGCCACGTGTCATCAAGAGATTCGTCCTCCTTGCACCAATTGCAATGTGACACGTGTCCACCCATTCCAAATGGGAAAACCGGCCAACAAGGCCCAATCTTTGTGGGAGGCCCAGTCAGCCTTAGGTTTAACCTAAACCTAGTAATGCCACGCATCCCAAGGCATATAAATATGCCCATTAATCCTCATTAAGGGGGATTACGCACATTTAACACTCTCACCTAGAGAGACCCAATCACTTTTATTTCCGCATTAATTACTCCTTAATCAAGTACTAACTTGACCGTCGGAGGCGGATCTCCAATCGTCCGGAGCATCCGTTTGTTTTGCAAGTACATGCGTCCGGTTTCAGCCTCAGAATTGTAACTCTCCCGCAGGACATCAGAAAACCCCGAAACAATATGTATGCGTGCTAAGATCGAATTGTTAGTTTTGTTACAAAACAATTTAACAGCACATCAGTGTTACTTCAAGTTTTTCTTAGTGAAGCTAATCTGCTAATGAGAAGTTTCTCAATTACATTACTATCTAAGCAGAACAAGGTTATTTTGCTCCTGGATTTCTAGCATGTTTGCTCAGTATAAAATACCGCCTTAAGATTAGATTAAACATGACATTGTTCCCACTTTCTAAAGCCTCTTAAACTTAAACTAAACCGAGTACAGAAACAATTGTGTACAGAAGTATATTACACATAAAAAGAGCAATACAAGTTATACAACTGCCTGCTAGCTGAGTTGTGTGCAACTGTGCAAGGTAGGTGCAGGCTGAACGTTGGATGCCAATTACCCTAGTCAATTAAAGATGAGCCTCTTACTCTAATAAGCAAATTCGAACGCAAACCATTCAAACTTTTGATGCTGATGCAACTACGAGACTAAATGCAGCAGCATCAATTTTAGCTCATCAAACATAACAATTTACAATCCCTGATCAAGATCCTTTTGAAATAGGAATGAATACTGATTCATTCTTTATAATCCCTTATCTAAACTTATCCGAACATTCCAAGTAAGAGGTCTTACTTTGAGCTCTCAAATTTCTTCATTATTGCATATATTTAATAGCCGTGTTAAGGGGATGGAGACATTAGCATTGGTAATTAGGCTAGCCTTAATAATAATGCTGGCTTTCTATAGTAGCTTTTCACATTATTGTATCATGAATTTTGCTGGACTTTGATAACAATGTTGGCTTCGTGTATTAAGTTTCAACATTTTAATTAAAAATTGGCCTGCCATGTCTTGTGCTTGTTGAAATTCATAACTCCATATCAAGGAGGAATAATTGTTCTTTGGCTTGTCTTTTGTTTGTCAATCCACATAGTGACATGCATAGACCAACTTTTTAGATTCTAGATTTCTAGCACTTATACAGATATGTCTATGTTGGATATTGTATCGTTTCGAGTTTTATAGGTGAAAGTTATATTAAATTTTAAACAAATCGATTCATTATTAATAAACATTCATACATCATTTATAAATGAAATTTAAATTAAAATATATATTATTGAATCCAAGAGGGGTTTTCTTTGTCAAAGCTACATACAATTGTTGAATACATCTTGCATTGTGGTACATCTTTCGCGCACACATCGTTGGAATATACAACTTTTTCGGAGAGTCGATCTAACGATTTTTGTCGTAGTCAACTAGTCATAAGGACAAATATACACATCATTGTGTATAATTATCGAAATCTAAATTGTAAAAAAAAAAAGGTAAAGTAAAAGGGAAGGCCGGAAATTAAACTATTTCGGCCAAAAATTTAGAAAACTCTAAAAGAGAGGAGATGAGGGGGGGGGGGGAGGAGTTTTTACTACTTATAGGCTTAGGTGAAAGTTATATGAGATCAATAAATTCCATTCATTATTCAATTATATCATAGAAGACATGCATAAGCTTATCAAGCCTTGATATTTCGACTTTATAAATTCTTATTATTTGAACTTATATAAACTTATTAATTTTTTTAAAAAAAATAACTGAAAATAAGATAAATTGAACAGACAATTGTATTAAAAAACTAAATTTTTATTATCTTCATTTCTCAATTAATAGCTTACCATCACACTATTTTAGAGCATCTCCAATGACAAGCTACAATGCTTTGTAGCTTGCTTTTCCACATCAATTTCTAAGCTACAACACTTTTTAAGATACAAATTGTTCCAATGGTAAACCACAACATATTGTAGTTTGCAAAAAAAACAAAATTTTAAAAAATAATGGATAATTATACACATGTAACAATATGAGTGGAGATTATTTGTCTTTTTTTTCAATCAAGCATGTAGCTTGGTTGGGCTACAGTTGCTTGCATGTTGCTCAATTTTTTGTTCTCCAATGGTAAGCATGTAGCTAGAAACTTTATTTAAATTGCAAGCAAGTCCTTATAATTGAACCATTGGTGATGCTCTAAGATTTTTAGTATCATAATAGCTTATTATACAATAAATATTTTATTTTTAATACTTCCTCCGTTCTATTAATATTGCAACAATGAGGAAATTACGCATCCCTATGCACATTTTATATGCTAAATATCTATAATTGTGTAAGAGTAAAAATTATAAAAAGTTGATATTGTGAAAGTATTTTATGAGACGAATCCAACAAGATCCCACATGACTATATTTTGCTTAACGTACAAATCATATTATATAGTCAAATTAGAGTGATAAGTAGTGCAAAAAGTCTATTGTTGCAATATTAACAGAACAGGGGAAGTATTTCTCTAGGTATATCATTCCTTAGATTCTCGTTTGAAGTTACATTTGCGGGTGATTGTTGCCCTTGGATGTAGCCTAGTGTACGTCATTCATGATTCTCCTCAATCGAAGAGGCTTGGCGGTTCCGATTAAAAAACGTTATCAAAGAAGTGACGATATTTTTTCAAGTAGTTGGTGCGTTAGATGTCCTTTTTCCTTCCAAATTAAATTTAAATACAGAGCTTAACAACAATGACAGCTTGTTTTGTACAACGTATTAATGCCAGGGTTGCTGAAATGGTAGTGAAATATTTGCAAACCTGTTCATATTTAAGTACAATGCCAATTTAGTTAGTACGAAGTAATACACTTAGCGAAATTAAACACTAATTAAAGCATATAAATAATCGATTAAAATAACTTAAACATCAGTAGGAGGAAAGACTTGGGTTATCAATATATCATTTTTTTAAATTAATTTGTCCGTTCATTATATATTTCATTTGTTGAAAATGTGTGTCAAAAGATCAATTTTTAGTTTAAAAGATTGAAGGAAGTACTAACAGTCTCAAAGCCTGTTCAATTCAGTTTAATTTCAGTCCATTTCAACTCCAATCAGTTCAGCTCAGCTTCTAATTTCTTTCTCTTATAAAATATTAATTTCAACTCTATTCAGTTCACTTCAGATCAGCTTCAATCAATTTAATTCAGTTCAATTCTGCTCCATTAAATTCATTTTAGTTCAGCTCAACTCACTAAATATGAACATGCCCTAACACTAACCTGTTAGTTATTATAAATAATTACATGCTATATTTACCTTCTATGAAAAGTAACTTGATTAACGAATTTTTCAAAAAAAGAAATGAAAGTTCATAAGTTGCAACTCCTTCATAATTTGAAGGCAAAATGCCTGAAAATACTTATAAGTTACAGCTCACTCGGTTACTTGAATACTTATACTTGTCATCAAAGACCTTGCTTAGAAGCCAAATATTTGTTCTCTTTCAAATTAAGCCATTAGGCCCATTAAGATAGTACACCAAGCTAAGAAGTCGGAAGAACTAAAAAACGAAGTTTTTTTTAAAAAAAATTTATTTTTTTGTACATAATCAATTTTGTACAAAACATCCTGTCAAAAAAAAAAAAAAAAAAAAAGTACAAAACAACTTAATTAAAAATCCTCTATGGCTCTATCTCTCAAGAACATGTATAAAAGCGAGACAATAACTTAAGTTATTATGTTAATTAAAAATGAAAAATTGTTGAAATACAAACTAAATCTTGAACTTACCTCCAAACTATAGCGTAAAACAAAGAGAAGATGCTTCAACAAAATTTTTGACTTTTAGTCTTTGATCTAGCTCTAAATATTATTTGCATATTTTTATGAATTTTCTTAAGAGGAAATGTTTTATTAATCAATCTCGTGTTTCATGAGAATGATGACATATAGCTTAGTATTTGTATTTTCGAAGAGGGAAGGGGCAACTGAACAAGGTTTGAGTGATAATCTTAGCACTAATATAACATGGTAACTTGGTAAGAGCCTGTTCTCATTGACTGAACTCAGCTGAACTGAACTGAATTGAACATTTTATAAGAGAAGGAAATTAAGAGTTTAACTGAACTGAAAATAAACGTATGAGAACAGGCCCTAAGTTGGGATATGGGCTAAAAAAAATCAGCTCGTCTTGTGTACGACCGGCCACACCGTGTGACCACTTAAAGTACCCCTATAACATTGATTAAGTAACCTCTGTAATACCGATCGAGTAACCCCTATAACACAGATCGAGTAACTTTATAACAATGATGAAGTAACCCCTTTAACACTGACCAAGTAACCCCCATTACACTAGCGAAGTAACCCTTATAGTGGCTGGCCACATATAAGACTTTGTGAAAAGCAATTACTTGTATAATCTATCTAT